ACAAAAGAAGGAAGAAAAAGATAAGAGAGAATAAGCTGGGGGTGTGAACTAGTGAATTAGCGGTGATTTCAGACTGCATACCTGGGATTTCATCTTCAAGGACAAATACATTTTTTAATAGGTTCTTCGAGACAGGGTTTCTCTGTATTGTTTTGGAGGCTATCCTGGAACTCACTCTGTAGACCAGGCTGGCCTCGAACTCACAGAGATCTGCCTGCCTCTGCCTCCAGAGTGCTGGGAGTAAGGCGTGAGCCACCAAAGCATGGCAGTAAATTACATTTTGTTTCCTTTTGTTTTTCAAGGCGTGGTGTCATGCTAGCCTAAACCTCACTTTGTTACTAAGACTTGCCTCAAACTCCCAGTCATGCACCACCACTCCCAGTTTAAATGAGAAGAAGTCTGGGGCCAGGAGCTGCTGGCGCACGCCTTTAATCGCAGCACATGGGAGGCAGAGGCAGGTGGATCTCTGTGAGTGTGAGGCCAGCCTGGTCTACAGAGCGAGTTCCTGGACAGCTAGGGCTACACAGAGAAACCGTGCCCCCAAAAAACCAAAATCAAATAAAGAAAAGAATAAATCAGAGGAACTCTCTAGGGAAGGAACAAATATTAACAACAGAAATGGAGTACAGTGGCCCTGGTACTTCAGAAATAATTCATCTGGTATTTTGGGATTGGTTCAATCTCTTTCAGGGTTTAAGAGTTAGTCAAGGATTCCCCTAAAGTCTGCTGCCCCATGGTTAAGAACATGGAGCCAAAGTCTATCCAGCCAAAGTCTTATCTTTTCTAAGACAGAGGCTTGGCACTGTAGAGATGGCTCAAAATCTAAGAGGGTGAATTAGTCTTCCAAGGGACCAGCGTTCAGTTCCCAAACCCAGGAGGGGCAGCTCACAACTGCTTTTAACTCAAGGTCAAGGAGCTCTGATACACTCTATGACATCTGTGGGTACCCCCAGATTAACAACACACACACACACACACACACACACACACACACACACACACACACACACACTGTGTTAATCAAAAGTAAATTAAATCTAGGGCTGCAACTAGCAGTTTCCGTCCCGAACCTCCAATCAGAACCAGCAGACACCTGCTTGCAAGTCTGCCTTTGGGTGCCTCCAAGGGATTGGAATGACCCCGATGGGTAGCCTCAGGCATCTGTTAACTCTCCCAAAAATGATGCCATAGACCCGCCATGGAATCCCACCAGTGACACCAAACCTGTATTTATTAAAGTCTGTATTCTCTCTGTCTTGGGATGCAGTTTCATCTCCTATGTGTGCTTTTGGAGACTAGGGCAAACTTTGTATTTAACATGAAGTCTCATGTATCTCAGACTGGCCTGGAACTCACTATGTACCTGAAGATGACCTTCAAGTTCAGCCTGGGGATGACAGGTTCTGAGGCTAAGGTGGGATTAAGACAAACTGAGGTCCAGTCAGTCTATGGGCGTTAGGGAGCTCAGCACTCCAAATAGAAATAAGCTACAAGGGTCTGCGGCTGGGATTTGCCAAATTGTCTAGCAAGAGGCTCAGGGTACCACTCACACACACAAGAGGCACTAAAACCTCATTTGGCTCTTCCGTGTCCTGGAGTGTTACTCCAAGCTGTGATTGGTGGTGGTGGTGCTTGGGGGGTAGTGAATTCACCTACCTCTGTTTTCTAAGTAGTGGCATTACTACTCAAGTAAGCATTTCTGAGAACACATAGGTAAAATTATAACAACCCAAGGGCATGGCTTAGTGGTTAAACCAGTAGATGTCACTGTTTAAAGAACAAAGAGGGAAGGGAGGAGGGATCTTACAGGTAGATAATACACACACCCAGATAAAGATTAGCCTTGGGGAGGATTTAGAAGGCAGACATTTTGCTTTGGCTTGAGACTGGCCCAAAACTTTCCCCCTGCTAAGCATGGAGCCTCACCATCAGCCCTGAAAGAGTTTGGCTAACACAAAGTCCCCCTAAACCAGCAAACTGCTGGTCACAAGAAACAGGGGAGAAATACAACCAAAGACGCAAAGGAGCCCACTGTGGGTTTGGAAACTGTGTGTGTGGTGCCCTGGACACTGGATCTAGAGACTAGTCAGGTCAATGGCCCCCTGGTTCCAGACAGCCCTTACACACACACACACTGATTTTTTATTTGGAGACAGAACTGCCCCGCTGTGCCTTTGCAGATAAAATTCACAAACTGAAAATCAATCTTTTTTTTTTTCGAGGCAGGATTTATCTGTATTGTTTTGGAGGCTGTCCTGGAACTTGCTCCGTAGGCCAGGCTGGTCTTGAACTCACAGAGATCCGCCTGCCTCTGCCTCCCGGGTGCTGGGATTAAAGGCGTGCGCCACCAACGCCCGGCTTATTATTATTATTATTATTGAGACACCACAGTCCAGACTGGCTTCACATTTGTAGCAGCCCTCCTGCTTCAGCCACCTACATGACATACTCAGAGCGTTCAGCTGCCAAGTCCAGATCAACCACTTTAAAATGAGCCACTTCCCTGGAGAAATGGCTCCCAGGTTAAGAGCAGCACCTCTTCCCTTAGCAGAGGATTGGGCTTCAGTCCCCAGCGCCCATATGGTGGTTCGCAGTCATCTGTGTCTCCCAACACGCACCTCTGGTTTCTGGTGAACAAACATATGTACAAGTAAAATAATCACACTCATGAAATAAAAATAAATAACAGTAAAGTAGATGAGGTCTTTACAGACTCACAATATCACAGAGCCATCTCCTCTCTATCCTCCCCAAATATTTTCCAGTTTTGTCTGTTTGGGGTTTTGATCTTTTCATCTCAAGTCAGGTTTTTGTGTTGGGTATCACGGACTAACTCAAACTCATTGATAACCTTCCTTCCACACTGGGTGTGTGAGTTCGAGACCAGCCTGGTCTACAAGGGCTAGTTCCAGGGCAGCCTCCAAAACCACAGAGAAACCCCATCTCCAGAAAAAAAAGGTGGGGATGTGATTACAGCTCCCAGATAGTTTCAAAAATCCCAAAGATAACACCCACCCCATTAAACAGTGACACGTGTTGCTGCTCTCCCTACCTGTTCATCAAGGGATGTCTAACTACACACCTTTAATCCCAGCACTTTGGAGATAGAGGCAGGCAAATCTCTCTGTTCAAGTCAGGCTGCTGAGTTCCAGGACAGCCAAGGCTGCACAGATGTATCTTTGGCAGAGGGAGGGGGAACAGGACACAAACAAACAAACAACTACGGAAAAAAAAATCTAGGAATTTGCACTCTGATTTGATGCATTCAAATCTTAGCCACTCAGAATGCCAAGCTAGCAGATCAAGTTCAGGATTAACCTGGGCTGCATAAGAGCTTGTGAAGTTGTCAACGCCTTTAATCCCAGTGTTCTGAATGTGGAGGCTGGCATATCTCTGAGTTTGAGACCAGCCAAGACTATGTAATGAAAACCTGTCTCAAAAATTAATCAGTTAATTAATTAAAATATAATTGTCTTCCTTGACTTAAGATTTTTCATTGGTTTTTCTTTTTCCTTTTCTTTTTTTTTTTATGATAGGGTCTATTGCAGCCCAGTCTCATCTTGAACTCCATAAGGATTGGAGGAGGACCTTGAGAGGATGACCTTGAATTCCTGAACCTCAGTCCCTACCTCTCAAAAGGTTATGCTTACAGGCATCCACCACCACACCCAGCCTCTTGTTTTGTGTATTGAGATGAGGTTACCAGTAACCCAGACAGGAACTGAACCCATACTATGGCCTTAGGAGGACATCGGCTCTTCACCCTCCCAAATTTACCTCCTGAAGAACTGGGGTGACCAGTGTGTATGAACTTCCCATCAGACTCAGACTTGGGGTGCTAGCTTCTGATACTAGCCTTAAGTACTTAAATCACTGTTGCTTCCTAACTGGCAAGTCCTCTGGTTACCTTAGCTGGATATCAGTGTAGCCAAATCACTGGGGCTGGGATGTGGTTCGGTTGCTAGACTGCTAATTTAGCAGGCACAGAGCCCTGGGGTGTGATCCCAGCACTGCATACTCAATAGTTCCCACTTGGAATCTCAGCACTGGAGATGTGGAGACGAGAAGACGAGGAATTGACAGTAATCCTCTGCTGCACAACACGCTTGAACCACAGTCTGGGCTACAAGAGGCCATCCGCAAGGAAAACAAATGTAAGGCGTACACGATGCCCATGTACACACTGTTAGGATAAAAGCTCAAGGGAGACCTTGGGTGTGGGGGACCGTGGCGGATACCATGGCAGGCGAGGGTGACCAAGGCAGAGGCTCAAACACGCCAGGCAGACAGAACTTAAGTAATAAGTTTTATTACAAAGGGGAGGGAGGGGGAAGGAAAGAGAAAAGAGGTAAAGAGACACGGAGAGACAGAGAGAGGACAGAAGAGAAGAGGGAGACAGGGAAAGTTCTGTCTGCCCGCGGGGGAACAGCGCGAGAGAGCAGGAAAAGAGCAGAGAGGAGAGCAGAGTGAAGAGCTGGAAAGAGTTAGAAAAGAGAGCATAAGTGGGCGGGGTCTGCCTTTTAAAGGGGTCCTTTGCACCTGCTTGCAGACTAGTACTCATGGAACCCTGGGGGCTGGAGGGATCATTCAGCAATTAAGAGCACGGGTTGATATTCCAGAAGACACCATCCCACTCCCAGCATCCATGTGGGTCTTGACAGCCCTCACCTGCTAAGCTATCACACTGATCCTGATGCCAGACGTTAGCCATGCTCAGAAGAGATGCAAGAACTGATTCCAAAAATCCCTGGTATGATATGGCACCTGTGATCCATCCTGAGGATCCAGGGATCCTAAGGATCAAATTACCGTAAGAGTAAGATTGGAAGGGAAGAGGTGTTGTCTATGGGTGTGGTTGAACTGTATTTAAACCACACCCGCCTTGCCGGGCCTTTCTTACCTGCAGAACTAAGTACCTGGGAACAGCTAGGGTTAAAATGCCATCCTCCTGCTTTCTTCCTAAAGGTAAGCCAGGGAAAAGGGGTGTTGCCTGGTTACCAATGGAGTCAGAACCGGTCCAGTATTCTGACAGACACATCCTTGCTGATGGAGTTCTCCACTTAGGTATTTGTCAAGTACAGACCCCGATACGGAGAACTAGTTCTGTCACTCAGCTCTTCTTCCTTTCTTGTTTTATGATCTTTTACTTTTGGTGTTGTGCCTTTGTTTTCTTTTCAAGACGAGGGTTCTCTGTATAACCGACAGCCCTGGCTATCCTGGAACTCACTTTATAGACTGGCCTCTGTCTGGTTCAGAGATTCGCCTGCCTCTGTCTCCCAAGTAGTGGGTACCACTACTGCCTGGCTTTTGTTGAAAAATGGATCATATTATGGCCATCAGAAGACTAGTTATAATAGGTTCTCTCCTAACACTGGAACCAGGATTTGAACTTCGGTAATCAATCAGGTAGGGCTGCTGTTGCATTTACTTACTAAGCCATCTCTCTGACTTTTCTACTTAATCTTCGGTGATTAACTTCCTAGTTAAACTACTTGGGTCTGCAGGGATGACTGGGTATTTGGAGAAAACTGCTGGGTTTTCTTCTTCATTGATTATGCACTCAGATACCTTGGAGTGCAGGTTGCTTTGTTAATTTTGTTCTTGTTTCTTCAATATAATTTATAACTGGACACATCTGGCATAGAGAAATGTGACAGAGGGGCTGGAGGGATAATACCGTGGTTCAGAGCACTAGGGGCTCTTCCACGGGACCTAAATTCCATTCCCAACACCAGTGCAAAGCTATCCATGACTGCAGTCGCAGGGAGGTCCAGCATCAGCTGGCCTCTGTGACCACTGTACATGGCACACAGACAGGAATGCAATCAAAACTCCCACACAAATCAATAAAATTTTTTAGCCGGGCGGTGTTGGCCAATGCCTTTAATACCATCACCCAGGAAGCAGAAGCAGGCAGATCTCTGAGTCTGAGGCCAGTCTGGTCTACTGATCTAGTTCCAGGACAGCCGGGACTGTTACACAGAGAAACCCTGTCTCAAACACAAAAGAAAGAAAGAAAGGAAGGAAGGAAGGAAGAAAGAAAGAAAGAAAGAAAGAAAGAAAGAAAGAAAGAAAGAAAGAAAGAAAGAAAGAAAGAAAGAGAGACAGAGGATTACTGTACATTGATAAGCTAAGTTATTTATCTCTTAGTCGTCTGTGGGGTCTAGTAGGTGAATCACTAACTATAGATAAATAATCCCACTAGTGCCGCACTCTCCAATAGTTTTCTTGGCTTAGTAACTGCATAAGAATAACACTTTATTACATATCCACCTATCTCCCATATTTGTGTATACGTGTCAGGACCCACATGAGGAGATCAGGGAACCACCTTTGGCTAGTATGACCATTTATTTACACAAATCTTTTGTGTGACACTTCCACCTGTCCTGGGTACACACCTTGGAGTACTGTCACAACTGAATCTTGCTGTTCACCCTCAGGTTTCCTGGTTCTTCCTAACATTAACCTTCCTACATACAACCCCAGAGGGCAAGGAAGTGAGTGGTTAAAACTCTTTATTTTGGTTTGGTTTTAAATCCTGAGGATATCCTTGCACGCCCTAAACTATGTTCCACAAGCTAAGTCCTAATCCTTGTTTTGGTTTTGTCTTTGAGATTTATTTTCATTACATATGTTTGTATGGATGAGAGGGGGCGTGTCTGTCTGCGTGTGTGTGCATAGGTATGTGCACGCGAGTGCAGATGCCAGAGAAGGCTGGCAGAGTTGCATCTCCCCTGGAGCAGCGCCTTCCTAATGCAGTTTCCTCACGTTTTGGTGACCTGCAATCCTAAAACTTTTGCTTTCGTTGCTTCTTCATACCTGTGATTTTGCTACCGTTATGAGTAGTCATGGAAATCGTGCAGTGTGTCTGACATGGGTACCCCTTCTGAGAGGATCACTGACCGCCCCCCAAAGGAGTGGAAATCCACAAGTTGAGAACCGTTCTTCTGATTTACAGGCAGTTTGGAGCTGTCTAAGGAGGCTGATACTGCAAATGGAAACCATGACTTCAGCAAGAAAACTAACAGTACGTATGCGCCCTTCACTCATGAGCCATCTCTGGATTTTGGCTAGGATGAAAGCCCTGCCCCACATACAACACCTGGCTTAAGTTCCTTTGTTTGCACTGTTTTGAAATGGTCTCACGTAGCCCAGGCTGGCCTCCATCTCACTACGGAGCTGAGGGCAACTCATGCGCTGCCATGCTCAGTCTGCTGTTTGAGTTCCTTGCAACACTTTCTCCCCAAGCGGACGGAGGCTTCCGGCTTCTGCTGTTGCTGCCCATGTATAAAGCGCTGCGTTTAATTTTTGGTGTTAAAGGATTCAGCTACAGTTGAATACTTTCCTTTAACTCTACTGTACTTCAAAGACCACCTCTGTCTGGATGAAATCCTTTTACATGCTTTGAGGCTTGCAGTACAAAGCTGAACACGGACTCCACACCAACAACATAGCAACCAAAGACATAGTGGCACAACCTCGTAATCCAAGCACTTGGAAGGCTGGATCGGAAGGTTGGATGTCTTGTGTCCTAAGGTCAGCCAGAGCCGGAGGGAAGGAGACTGTCTCAGAGGGAAATTCCTTACTTATCTCAGAAATGACCTTATAAAAATCCCAAGGTTTCAGACCAAGAAATGCCTATGGGTGAAGGGGCTTGGTGCCAAATCCTAAGACCCCCCCCCACTTTTTTTTTCCTTTCTGTTCCAAGACAGGGTTTCTCTGTGTAACCCTGACTGTCCTGGAGCTTGATCTGTAAACCAGGCTGGCTTTGAACTCACAGAGATCTGCCTGCCTGAGGTTAAAGACCACTGCCCAGAGAAGATTTCACTTTCAAATCACAGCCAAACCAAACAGTTCCACTTAGCGCTGATCCCATCACTCGAGGAGGCTAAGATGGAAAGATTTTGAGCTTCAGACCAGTCATCCTGGACTACATAGAAGGACCCCCTCTACACACCTCCTCCATTCTTCCAAGGTGGAGTCTGTCTCACTGCTTAGTCTTTAGCTGACCTGGAACTTTAAGAGATCTGCCTGCTTCAGCCTTCTGAGAGTGCTTGAATTAAAGATGGCCTTATCTTTTTTGGGGGGGAGAGGAGTCTCGAGACTGTGGCTTTGGAGGATGTCCTGGAACTAGCTCTTGTAGACCAGGCTGGCCTCGAACTCACAGAGATCCACCTGCGTCTCTGCCTCCCGAGTGCTGGGGACTAAAGGTGCACCACCACCACCCAGCAAGGGGACTTTATCTTTTTAAGTCCTAATTATAGTAAAGGACTTGGGAGGAGCCAAGGCTAGCTTTGGCTATATAGTAAGTTGGAGGACAGATTGGACTAAGTGAGACCCTTTCTCAGAAATGAAGGGGAAAAGCCAAAGCATGTTAATCTCCACAAGTTCGGAGCCAGCCTAGTTTACATGGTGAAACCCCGTCTCAAAACAGTAAATGACTCACTGAGAGTTCTACTCTTGTCTTTCTATCTTTTCAAGGTGAGAACCAGAAAGGTCTACATAGGACACGAACTACATTCTCTCAGGAGGAAGTGGCTTTGCTGAGGGAGGAATTCAAAAAGAACCCATATCCAACCTCCAGTGCCAAGAAGGAAATAGCTTCAAGAATGAACAAGGAACCCACAGTAGTGCAGGTTGGTCAACAGTGACCCTTTCCGTTTCCCTAAGTTTCTTTTTTTTCCCCTGACTCTTGTGGGATATTATTGCAAGATGCTTTACAGCTATTTGTGTGGTGGGACGTTTGTTTTAACGATGCAAAGATGTGTTGTCATCTTTTAGGGTGCATTTGTTTAACTCTGGGAAGCTGTGTCATTCTGTCTGTCAAAAACACACCTGATAGCTGAACAGCAAGGCAGGAGAGAGAATAACGAATAGGAGGAGATATCTGAAGAAAAAAAGATGAAAGGAGGAGCAGGACTCCAGGGGTCAGTCAGTCAGCTACACAGCAAGCCTCCAGATAAGAAGTCAAGATAACAGAAAATAAGAAGTAAAGATATACAGAAATAGAGAAAGGTAAAAGCCCAGAGACAACAGGTAGATAAGTTAAGAAAAGCTGGCTAGAAACAAGCCAAGCTAAGGCCAGGCATTCATAAGTAAGAGTAAGACTCCCATGTGTATTTACTTGGAAGCTAGGAAGCGTCCCTCCCCCCCCCCCCGTGTCCTCCCCCGAATAAAGAATAAAAACAATGACAACCTGACTCTCCTAACTTGAACCCTGACAACCATTCCTGAGCTTACTCCAATCTCAGTGGTTATAAACCCTGGCTTTGCAAACCACAAACCTCCATCCAGATCCCAACACAAGCATATGCTAGCCTCCTATAAAAAAAAAAAAAGCAAAAAGCCAGACAGTGGTGGTGCACAACTTTGATCCCAGCACTCGGGAGGCAGAGACAGGTAGATCTCTGTGAGTTCAAGGCCAGCCTGGTCTACAGGATGAGTTCTAGGATACCCAGGGCTACACAGAGGAACCCTGTCTCAAAAACCCAAAAACAACCCATCAAAGTTAGCTGGGAAGTGGTGGCGCACGCCTTTGATCCTAGCACTTGGGAAACAGAGGCAGTCAGATCTATGTGCGTTCCGAGGCCAGCCTGGTCTACAGAGAAAGTCCCAGGACAGGCCCTAAAACTACAGAGAAGCTCTGTCTCTGTAAGCAACAGCAACAAAAAAAACCCCGGAGCAAGGTCTATTTTTGAATGACCCCCTGTATCTGAAGAGAAACAGTGGAGTAGTAGACAGGGTAAGGAGAGGTGGGGTGGACTGAGAAGTGGGGAGGGGTGTTGTACCCAAGTTGCAAAGATCCCCAGAGGCCACCACCAAACTGCAAAAGTGAGGTTTTGTTGAGTGTTCCAACCATGACAGGGACCCCGTCTGGCTAGCTGTCGCAACAGCCCCCACAGGGAGCAAAGTTCCCAAGACAAAAGTTACAGGATGACATCAGTAGGTACGGGTTGGTTTCTGAGTGGTTGACATTTGGGAGCAATTAGGAGAATTTCTCAGAGTCGTATTTTGGCATGAAATACGTGTGCACCGGTAATTCTCGTTGGTCAGTGCTGAGAGGGAACATTCTGTGGTTTCTATGGTGTTGTCTTGTTATTTGCAGGTGGCCTGTTGCACGTAGATACCAATAGTTTTCAGAACTGTATCCTGGAGACTACAGGGGAGGTTTTGGGTCTCCTCTGGAGTTTCTTTTGTGGCCAAACAGGTCCCAGGAACTGAGCATCTAGGATGCTGGGGTGGGCGGGACCTGGAGTTTCTCTGTGTTCAGTTTTGGCCCTAGACTCTGGGAGGCCACAGGATCTGGAGTTTCCTTGTGTCAGAGAAAACGTGTCTTTTCTGTAGCCTGTCATGGCTGCTACAGCAGGGGCCTGAGTGAGGGTCCCTTTATTTCTAAATTATTCAAAGTGAAGCTTTTGAGTTTAGTTATCACTTTCATTCTCTCCTCTTCTTATAGGTAACCCAATCCTGGGTTACTAGTGGACATTTTTATTGTCATCATGTTTCCTATGTAAGGGAGCTGTCTTTTGACTTAGCATTTCAACCAGGGAAAAGGGACAACGTATTATTTTCTGAGCTACTTCCTGCTGACTTTGGGGTGTCGTTGTCAGGGGCCCAAGTAGGCTGAAATGCTAGTCAAAAGCAAAGATGGAATTTAGGCAGTGGAGTATTTATCAGAAGCATCTGGTTGACAGACTCCATTGAAGAAACAGGGAGTGATCACATCAACTGGGCTGGTTTACATCCACAGAAAGTATAGAGTTTGTAGGGTTTTTTGTTTTTCTTTTTGTTTTTTTCTGAGACAGGGTTTCTCTGTGGCTTTGGAGGCTGTCCTGGAACTAGCTCTTGTAGACCAGGCTGGCCTCGAACTCACAGAGATTCACCTGCCTCTGCCTCCCGAGTGCTGGGATTAAAGGCATGGGCCACCACCACCTGGCGAGCTTGTAGTCTTTAAGAGCAGACTGTGGTCAGCAACTGATGCTCAAATGTGTCTGCCAGAAGCAGAAACCTGTTTGAGACATGTTTAAACTGGAAACAGAAGTTAAAACTTATATAATTAATCAGAACTTTTAGTGATCAGGAAGGGCAAGAGTCCCAAGACCAGGGAAGGAAATCCCACTCTCAGAAACAGACAGGTGGGATAACAAAAAGCTGTACTTACCTGGAGTCCTTTTGGCCTGTGAGAAGTGGATCTAAGCTTTATGACTTTTGATCCTCTGAAGTCTATACAAACTTTATTATATAAAAGGACTTAAAAGTTTTAGACATTAGTATTATCAATGTATACTAAAGTCTACACTGTAGATAAAGCAGATACTAACCGGGCGTTGATGGGCGCACGCCTTTAATACCAGCACTCCAGAGGCAGAGGCAGGCAGATCTCTGTGAGTTCAAGACCAGCCTGGTCTACAAGAGCTAGTACCAGGACAGCCTCCAAAGCCGCAGAGAAACCCGGTCTCAAAAAAAAAAAAAAAAAAAAAAAAAAAGCAGATATCAGATATCTGTAAAACAGCAGGAACAGACTCATACATTTGAGTCCTAGTAAAAACTACAGGCTTGAGTCAAAAGCTTTTCTTCTTTCTGTCCAATGAGTCAGGCCTTTGGCCTGATGAAAAGCCCTTTAAGTTTATATTTAGACAACAACCAAAATAAATCTAAAAACCTTGAGTTTGTGACTGAACAGCAGGTAGTCACTGTTTTATCAGCCTATCAGAGCCTTTCTCGCCTCGAAGTCCCCACATCACTGAACAATGACAGTGGCAGGCTTCTGAAGTCAGTGTCCCCTTAACCCCCACGCTCTTTTCCACTTAGGTCTGGTACAAGAACCAACGAGCAAAATGCAAGAAACTCAAATGTGGCACTCAGAAGGAACAAGTACACCAGCAGTCACCCCAAGTCCAAGAGCAACACCGGCAGTCATGCCAAGGCCAAGAGCAACACCGGCAGTTATGCCAATTACAGCATCAACAGTTACTTCCATTCCAATTTCAACAATCACCTCAAGTCCAATGTCAGCCATCACATCTACTCCAACAGCTGCCATCACCTCATTTCCAATACCAGCAGTTCCCTCAAGTCCAACACCAGCCGTTATCTCAACTCCAAACTCAGCCGTCACCTCTACACCAACACCTGACATCACCTCACGTCCAACACCACCAGTTCCCTCAAGTACAACACCAGCTGTCACCTCTAGTCCCACTTCAGTTCCCTCAAGTCCAACACCAACAATTGCCTCAAGTCCAAAGTCAGCAGTCACTTCAGGTCCAACACCAGCTGTCACCTCTAGTCCTACTTCATCTACCTCAAGTCCAACACCAGCAGTCACCTCAAGTTCAATACCAGCACTCAACTCAAGTCCAACACCAGCAGTCACCTCAAGTCCAACACCAGCTGTCACCTCAAGTCCCTCTTGAGTCACCTCAAGTCCCTCTTGAGTCACCTCAAGTCCCTCTTGAGTCACCTCAAGTCCAACACCAACTGTCACCTCAAGTCCCTCTTGAGTCACCTCAAATCCAACACCAACTGTCACCTCAAGTCCCTCTTGAGTCACCTCAAGTCCAACACCAGCAGTCACCTCAAGTCCGACTTGAGTCACCTCAAGTCCAACACCAGCAGTCACCTCAAGTCCCTCTTGAGTCACCTCAAGTCCAACACCAACTGTCACCTCAAGTCCCTCTTGAGTCACCTCAAATCCAACACCAACTGTCACCTCAAGTCCCTCTTGAGTCACCTCAAATCCAACACCAACTGTCACCTCAAGTCCGACTTGAGTCACCTCAAGTCCGACTTGAGTCACCTCAAGTCCAACACCAGCAGTCACCTCAAGTCCAACACCAGCTGTCACCTCAAGTCCCACTTGAGTTACTTCAAGTCCAACACCAACTGTCACCTCAAGTCCTTCTTGAGTCACCTCCAGTCCAATACCAGCAGTCACCTCAAGTCCAACTTGAGTCACCTCAATTCCAACTTGAGTCACCTCAAGCTCATCGTCAGCTGTCACCTGAAGCCCAACGCCAACAGTCACCTCACGTTCAATGCCAGTGGCCACTTCATGGTGGAGTCAATGAGAGTCCATCCCAGAGTAAGAACACACCACCAGAAAGCCCTACCAGCATCCTGCCTGAAGCTCACATTTACACCAACAATGCTATGCCCTCATTCCAACTCTGCCTGTACCCTGACCTTAAGGACTCCAAGTATCCCCCTAAGGGCCATAAGATGATCCATTTTGGTTGTTGCCAGGACTCTGCCATATACTGGCTCCGACCCATCTTTCGGTCTCGCAAACGCCTCTCCAACTTCCCGATAAATTGCTTTGACTCCAGACCCACAAAAAAGAGAAGGAAGCTAGAAACAAGGACATTTGATGGTTGACATGTTTTGGAATTTTTTTGGTTTTGTTTTGTTGAGACTTGGTCTTCCAATGTAGACTGGTTGGCCTGATACTATGTACCCCAAGATGACCTAGAATCATGGCTATCCTGCTGCTTCCTACTCCCACGAGTCCTTTTAGAACTTATTTATTATATTATTAAATTAGTAATATATTATTATTAATATATAATGCCGTCCTCTGAGTGTTAACATTATAATCCTAAGAGACTCTTGATGACTATGATATTGGTTCCCTGATGGGAGATGACCTTCTGTGTATATGTTTGTCTTATTGATTAATAAAAAAAGCACTATTGGTGAATAGGGAAGCAAGATAGGTAGGAATTAAGTCAGATCTAGTTGTGAAGAAACCATAGCCAGCCGTGCGTTATTGGCGCACGCCTTTAATCTTTTTTTTTTTCAGTTTAAATTTAGATAAGAAACAAGGCTGCTTCACAAGTCAGTTCCAAGTCCCTCTCCCTTTCCCTCCCCTCCTCCTGTGCCCTCCCCCCACCCCCCCATTATCCCCTCATTTCCCCAGGGAGGGTGAGGCCCTCCATGGGGGTGTCCATAGTCTGTCATTTCATATAGGGCAGGGCCTAGACCCTTCCCCAAGAGTTCGGGTGAGAGTGCACCTCACATTGTTGGATGGGAGTCCAAAGTCCGTGTGTATATTCGGGATGGGTACTGATCTGCTGCCCAAGGCTCAATAGATTACCTAGGCCTCCTAACTGACACTCAGGAGACAGAGCCAGATCTACAGGGTGAGTTCTAGCATAACCTCCAAAGCCACAGAGAAACTCTGTCTCGAAAAACCAAAACAAAAAAAGAAGAAGAAACCATAGCCAAAGACCAACAGCTTTATAATTAATATAGTGTCTTGCGTGTTATTTGTGCTTGATGCAACACTGGGACCAAGCTGGCGGGAAGGGTTGTCGTAACAGTTCCCTCCTAGACCCACGGGATGAGTAGGATCGTCCGACTTGACTTCGAGCCACTTTGGCCTGTGCCTCCCTGCCAGCTGCGTGTAACTGCTCCAGCTGCACCTACCTGATCTTACGGTTGAAAGAGTTGCTGCTACAGACATGAGGACGTCTTCTTTGGTGTCGAACTGAGACTCTCTGATGTGTCTGTGTTGGTTTGATTAGGAATAGCCTCCATAGGCTCATATCTGAGAGGCACTATTAGCAGACGTGGCCTTTTCAGGGTAGGTGCGGGCTTCGTGGACAAATGGTTACGAGAGTTGCCACCGAGGGAGGGCCTAAGGCCCTGCCTCAAATGACTTGACACATTTTGATGATCCCTCATAGAGGGCCTCACCCTCCCTGGATGTGGAATCAGATTAGAGGGTCGATGGGAGAGAGAAGGAACCTGGATCTATATGTAAAATGAGATTGTTTCTAATTTAAATAAAATTGCACTGGCAGTGGTGGTGTACATCTTTTAATCCCAGAACTCAGGAAGGAGAGGCAGGTGGATGTCTGAATTTGAGACCAACCTGGTCTACAGAATGAGTTCCAGGATTCCCCAGACTACATAGAGAAATCCTATATTGAAAATGCCGATAAAATAAAATAATAAAAAAAAACAAAAAGACAAGATGGGCATGGTGGGGTATGCCTTCGGTCCCAGCAGTCTAGAGGCAAAGGCAGGTAGGTCTCTATGAGTTCGAGGCCAGCCTGGTCTACAACGAGAGTTCCAGGACTGCCAGGGTTACATAGTGAGACCCTGTGTCAAAAGAGTTGCCATGGTTATGGTATCCTATCTGGAAATTATATTAAATAATATATATTAAATATATCCTATGTTTCAGGCTCAGCAGGTGGGGACAATTTGGCTGCCACGAAGCCTGACAACCTGAGTTCAATCCCTGGGACGCACACAGTGGAAGAAATGAACCAATTCTACAAGAGTCCCTTGACCTCCACAGCCATGCCATACCACGTGCATGCTCACACCTACACAAGAAATGTTTTAGGTGGCTGGAGAGCTGCCTTAGTAGTTGAGAGCACTGATTTGCTCTTCTAGGGGACCAAGGTTCAATTCCCAGGACCAACATGATGGCTCGTGGCCACCTGTAACTCCAGTTCTAGGGGAACCAACACTCTCCTCTGTCCTTAGCAAATGCCAGACATGCATGGCTACACAGGCAAATGTGCAGACAAAACACACAAACACATTAGATGGCATTTAAAAAAAATTAGAAATCAGAAGAGAACCAGAGTGTGGTGGTGGTGCATGCCTTTAATCCCAGCACTATGGAGGCAGAGGCAGGTGCATTTCTGTGACCTGGAGGCCAGCCTGGCCTAAAGAGCAAGTTCCAGGACAGTCAAGGCTACAAAGAGAAAACCCTCTCTCAAAAATAAGAAACAAGCTAGGCAGCGGTGTCGCAAGCCTTCGATCCCGGCACTCGGGAGGAGGGAGGGAGGGAGGGAGGGAGGGAGGGAGGGAGGGAGGGAGGGAGGGAGGGAGGGAGGGAGGGAGAGAGAGAGAGAGAGAGAGAGAGAGAGAGAGAGAGAGAGAGAGAGAGAGAGAGAGAGAAAGAAAGAAAGAAAGAAAGAAAGAAAGAAAGAAAGAAAGAAAGAAAGAAAGAAAGAAAGAAAGAAAGAGAAAACTGAAGAGAGGTCAGGAGACAGACGGCAAAAGAAGCAGGAGACATGGAGGAGAGGAAGCTCCCAGCTGCCTTGGTAGAAAAGCCTCCCCTAAGTCCTGTCTTCTCTCCCCACCTGTGTGTGGGCTGGGGGATGTTGCCAAGCTTGATAACCATAAAGAATCGTCAGGTGCTGTTAAATGCAGATGCCTAGCCTAGGATGAGGACAAGTCCCAGGAGGAAGGCTTGATTTAACCCAGGTTGCACTTCCTCAAAGGTCCTGGCCCAGGAAGCTTCGCAAAAGTTCCATAGCTGCCTAGGTCCCCGTTCCCTTGGAAAACGCCAGAAAGCAGAGATCGCCAGAGGCCGTCTCCAAGGTGAGCAATGGCGGGGGGGGGGGCGACATAGAGGGTTGGACGGGTGGATCCAGCTGTGTGGGTGTAAATGTGCATCAATGGGCTGGGTGTTGGGCTCCCCAGAGCTGGGGACCCCGTCTACACTGTCATCTCATCACCTAAAGGACGTAAATTACAGTGCACATCTTGGGAGCTGCTTGCTCTGTCCCTACGTTTTCATTGTTGGTTGAGGTTGGCTCTCATGTAGCTCAGTGAAGCCTCCAATTCACTGCCTCTGCCCCCTAAGTGCTGGCATTAAAAGAATCCACAAGAACTCTAGGTTTGGTTTTGTTTGGCGTTGAGACAAGGTCTCACTAAGTGGCTTTGGCTGGCCTGGAACTCACAAAGTAGCAAGACTGGCCTGAACCTCTTAGATCCACGTGGCTCTCTCTGCCTTCTGAGTCCTGGGATTAAGGGTATGTGTCTTAACACTTTGTGTGTGTTTGGTTTTGAGTCAAAGGCAGGCTGCCTTTGAACAAATGTAAGTCCAGGAAAGCCTTGAATTCAATTCTTCTTTAATTAACCTCCAGAATGCTGAGATTCTTGGTTTTCTAGAATACCCAGAGGCATGTGTTGTTGTTTTCAATAGTACTGGTCATTGAACCCAGGATCTCTTAGCTGCTCCTGGTAACTCACAGTTAATTGACAATTAAAGCAGGCCCACATTAGCCCAAACCTGTACCCCAGCACTGAAGGCTGAGGCAGGAGTCATGGGCCAGCCTGAGCTAAATAGGGAGGTCCTGTGTCTAAAAGCAAGATGAGGGGCTGGAGAGATGGCTCCGCACTTCAGAGCCCTTGCTGCTCTTCTACGTGTTGAACTGGATTCCCAGCACATGCCACATGGAGGCTCACACACTGTGTAAACCCACGTCTAGGAGATCCACCACCTTTCGTGGCCTCCGGAGGCACTCACGCGAAGCAAATATAATACATATGCAGGCAAAGTACCAGTGTATGTGAACTAAAAATCTTCTCTTTAAAAAGCAAAAAGAGCAGGGCGGTGGTGGTGCACGCTTTTAATCCCAGCACTGGGGAGGCACAGGCAGATGGAGCTCTGTGAGTTCACTGCCAGCCTGGTCTACAGAGGGAGTTCCAGGACAGCCTCCAAAGCTACGTAGTAACCATGTCTCAGGGGAAAAGAAAAAGAAAAAGACAAAATGATTACCATCCTTGATGTTTTCCTAATGATACACTGGTGGCTGTAAATTTAAAAAACAGCCAGGTGTGGTTAAACAGAGCACAGGCAGGTGGATCTCTGTGAGTTGGGACCAGACCTGGTCTCCAGATAAAGTAGGAGCTGGCAAAGCCATTGGCTAGCATCTCAGAGGCAAGTAAAATAAGATAATGACCGCCACAGCGTGAGAACTAAAGAGAAAAAGTTCTTCCAGGCAGAAGGTGGTAATAACCATGGAGGGATTGATTCCGTTAGCTGACAAGCATCTACGTTAACCTATTGATAGCACCTGGATGTCGATGGATGCGACCAGGTTTTAAGCAGTATTCTGGGGACCAAGTAGATGGCTAGTTGACTTGAGTAAAGGGACCTGACACCAAGCTCAAGCACCTGAGTTCAATCCCTGGCCACGTGGGAAAGAGAACAGACTCCTAGAGCTGTCATTCATGGAAGCTCTATATCCATGTGCCATGAATGCTCACCCATGAATATGAAATAAATGTCAAAAAATAAATAAAAACAAGCTGAAACTGCTCAGCAGTGGCTCACACCATCAATTCCAGCACTCAGGAGTCAGAGGCAGGCAGATCTCTGTAAATTCTAGGTCAGCCAGGTCTACCTCAAAAGCTCCAAGCAGCCAAGGCTACATGGTAAGACTCTGTCTCAAAGACAAGCAAAGCAAAAAATGGATTTTGGAACGAGGTATAATCCTAGCACTTAGGAGATAGATGCCAAAGGATAGTTATCAATTCAAGGCCAGGCTTTGAGGGCTAAGTGGTTAAGAGAACAGGCTGTCCTACCAGAGGACCCAGGTTCAATTCCCAGCACCCACATGGCAGTTTACAACTGTCTGTGACTCCAGTTCCAGAGGATCTGATACTCTCACACAGACAAAACACAAATGTGTATGAGGTAAACACAATAAAATTATTTTTTAAAAGGCCAGTATTTAGATTGTGTGTGTG